TTAGTGTTCATTAACAATATGTTACCATGCTAACATACTAAACTAAGATGATGAATATGGTAAAAAATATGACTGCTAAACGGTGCTTTATAGAATCACTATCAAACAAACAGATCTGCACACCAAATAGTGCCTGTCAAAAGGAGTAAGTTTTGGCATGGTGAAGCGAGACATTGAAACATCTTGCCTTGGTACTTCTGCTTTGAGAGGCTGATACTGTGTTGAGTAGTCTGCTTCGAGTGTAACATTACTTCTAAACATCAGCGTGTTGGCATTGTCGTTGTGAACATGTTAGCATACTGACATTAGCATTTTGCTCAACGCTGTGCCTGAGTACAACCTCACAGACCCGCTAGCATGGCTGTAAACTTTTAATCTTGTTTAATGGTGTTGTCTAAAGAAGTGCTTGAAGTGGGCCGGTACTTACCGGTAAGCAGTACCAGCACTTCTACATTTTACTCTTTGGTGTACCGTGACATTTTCTTTCGCATCGGCACTTCTCACAAGCTGCGGGTACTATTTTCTGCTCTCACTTCACACTCACCTGTACCAGTTCTTGCCTGCCTGCTTTTCTCTGTCTGTGGCTTGTCTAAGAAACATTATAAACCTTGCAAAGCCTGGTTCCAGAAGGGCACAAAGAGAACACGAACAGAGTCAGATTATGAAGAGAGCTTCGAAAGTAAAATCCTATCCTACCAGTTGCTGATCGTTTACATGACTAATCACACAAAAAGTTGAAAGAATTGACAGTATCCACTGATTTCGCTGGGAATACAAGGACAACCTTATCAGGTGCATTTTGTTGAAACATGTTAAACTTTTCATTACTTTTTGTGAACAGAATGAATGACAGCTTGGATGGGGTGGGACATGCAACAGCAGACTTTTAAACTTATTGGTATAAATGGTTGTGATTATTGATGAGTTAGCATTAGGAAATTAGAGACTTAGGGCGAAACAAATGCCAGGTGGTGGAAACGGCATTCCATAATTGGTCATACAGTTGTAAAAAGACTATAAACCCCTCAAAATTTCTACCTGGATATCGGAGGCCTACATCATGGAACACCATCAGGCTCAAGTTGGGTTTCGGTCTGGACAGCAGGCTTTGGAGGGCTGCACAAATGAATAACTCATAAGACAGTGGGTATTCATTCATTTTATAATGTAGGCATTTGGAGGAAGACACTCTGCCATGAGAAGGTTTTATCACAGATCATATCAAGTTATTAGAATACGAAGTTGGCCTATGAAGTATTTGGGCCACAATTGCATACATGCAAAAATCATAAAGTGGGGCCTGCAAATAGGCTCGTAAAGGGTAAAAGCAGGTTTACACAGTCCATATGTATGTCCTTGAATGACTGAAGTGTTGCGTAAATGACCCTACAAGCTACATACATGAGTTCAATATATCAAAAGATGCTACCCTTTCATCAAGAATAAATATAGCAAAGTATTATTATTATTATTAAATATTGTACAAATTTGCATAGTTAGATTGTTCTATTTCTATTCTATATTTGTGTTCTCCAGTGTTGCAATACTGTGCCTTTCTTTTTATTTCCTCTTAATATGTTTATTGTATCAAACAACAGGGAAAATATGAATAAGGGGAGTAATGGCACTTTTTTTTCACTAAAGTATTGGTCTTAAGTTCATCTACATGCTGCATCAGGTACCTAGACACGTTGATGAGAATAAACACAGTGAAAACAAACAATACCAGTATTTTTTTGGAATTATGGTCTTCAATATCACTCATTGTTTGGATCCTAAATGTGTTTTCACCACAGTTACCAGTGCAGCTTTGATTTGCTTTTTTTATTCTTTAGCTCTACCACTGCTTGAAATCGACTCTAGACGCTTGCCAAAAGACAAATTACAGTACTTGTAAATTTTTACCACGGTTAGAATGTGATTATGTTATTTTCTAGAATAACTCCCCCTTTAGCTAGTTACTAACAAAGCTCTGAATACAGCTCCTTCAGATTTTCACTCCGTGTTTGCTCATCTGTCTGTTTGTACATCCACAATGTTTCATCACAACATACAGCAGGGAGTCACGCTTCACATAATGCAATAAACTGTATGTCTATTTTTATAACGTGATATTTTCCTGACTGTGGTTACTTTATTACACTTGCAACCCAGTGTTTACTGCAGCATCATGATAAACATTTCTGAGAAATACAGTCCTTTCTCACAGCAACCAGGTAAACTCAGAAGGCTGAACAATGTCGGCCACGGCTGAACAGACGTCACCTGCCGACCTGTCAATTAGGCTTCTTTTAATGAATAATAACAGTTCTCACATACATTGTGAAGCTTTTCACAAACTGACAAATTGCTGTGACTGTTACACAACTATGAAACACATTAATGAATCTGGCTGTATACCATTTTTTTCTGGCTGTGCAAAAATAGCATGTGAACATAATGGAGCATTACAGAGTCAGACATTTCCCTCAGGAGTTTGTGAAGACCAACAGCTAGTTAATACTGGAATTATATTTGTCAGGTGGCCAGACACACAACTCTAAAGTCATGCTAATCAGCTCTGTGTGTGTTGGATGTGTAAATAAGCAACTGTATTTAACAAATCCACCCTATCCACTTTATGCTGTGATAATATATCAGTGTTGTGTTTACAACTTGTTTCTGCTGCCCAAAGTAGCAAAAAGAAATAAGAGAATGTAGGTTTAAGTTTTATGCTACCATCTAACTGCGCAAACTTCACACAAAATGTTTTTTTAATCCAACATAAGTGCAACTTTAGTCCTGCATAGAAACATGCAGTTGCACAGTCAGTAGCCCCAAACATTACAGGGTTTTTTTTCACTCTCCTCAGGAGCTGAAAGTGTTTTAATACTGTTTGTTAGCTGCACTGTAGGCTACTTACAAATCAACTAAAAAATCTTGACTTGCTTGTTGGTGCCCAAATGCATGTATTCACACATGGACACATCAAACACATGACTTACTATGTTGGTTACTAGGTACTATGTTGACTTAATATGATTTGATTCTTTTCTCACTACAGTGTGGACTGTAAGCCCAAAACATCCAGTTTGAAAAACAGATGGTGTTTTTGTCCACATAACTTAAATAGATGCAAACATAGGTCCCTCAGCAGCCAGAACAGAGCCTCGCTGTGTGAAAGCAGTGTGAGAGAGCATTGGGTGTCACAGTGCACAAAAACAGATATGAGTGTCTAGGTGTTGAGCTCAAATGAAAAAAACATGTTGTGATGTTTTTCTTCTAGTGCAGGCTGCCAATTCTCTTGGCTTCCTTCTTTTATTTAAACGTTTTCACTGAATCCATTTCTCATTCTGAAATATTCATCATCATTTCTAAGCTTGTTAACCTGTCCTACCTTCTTCCTGGTCTTGTCATTGTTCTGCCTTTTTTCTTTAACTTCTTACCTTAACCTTTCCAATCATTCTCTTTCTCCACCTTTGCCTTTTCAACCTTTCCTTTTTTGTTCTTTTACATCTGCTTAATCTGCCTGTTCTGCAATACGACCAAGGTTTGTAGTCTCTTTCACTTGACTTTTTCATTTCCGTAGACCTTTCTACCCCTGTCTCTAGTGATTAAAAAAAATGATGGCTTCTTTGTAGTTTTGCCCAGTGATTCACTTTCTGTCTGTACACACCTTTAGACCTATATGCATTGAATGGACTTGTCATATTTATGTGTAAAACAGTATGACCAACTTAGGAATGAAAACACTACAGTGAGAGTCATTTTAAAAGTCGGCATTGAGAGACCTGAAGGACTTGCAACTGACTTGCAATTTCCTCATGAAAACTTGAATTTCACAGCTCTGGCAAGCAACAAGTTTTAACCAGGCCTAGTAACTAAGGGCTGAAATGACTATCAAATCAAAACTACAAAATAATTATTATGTTGTGTGCTGTAGAAGGGAAGAAAATGTACAATTCTCCCCAGAATCCCCTTGAGCGCTGTTACATTCTCATTTTCAATCTTCTCCAGTTTGCTTTTTATGGAACTCTACATGAGGAGGCAACAGCAGAAATGCCTGTTTCATGGTTCAGGTTAAGCAAATCAGGAATATATTCTCACACAAGTCTGAATTATGCTAAAAAGTTAGAATTTTTTCTCAAGCATAAATATCTCATAATTCTTCTCCCAGGACGTCGTTCTCTCTCTCTCTCTCTCTCTCTCTCTCTCTCTCACACACACACACTCTTTGTCTTTAGCCTTTATTTGATAGGACAGTAGATAGACAAGGAAATGAGGGAGAGAGATAGGGGGGCGACACACAGCAAAGGGCCGCAGGGTGCTGCAGTAAGGACTCAGCCTTGTACATGGGGTGCAAGCTCTACTAACTGAGCTCCATATCTGATTCATCTGTACGTTACGGAAGAGCAAAACTGCCAAAATCTAAAAATAAATAAATAAATGACTAAATAAATAAATTTATATGCTATTAAATGCACCACAAATACAAAAATAAATGTAGACATTCATTAACTTATAAATGAGACATAAATTGATATTTCTGTTTTAATTTTCTCCTGCATTTATTTACCTTTGCATTTATCTCCCCTATTTATTTCCCTGCTTATGTATTTTATTTATCTGTGCATTTTTCCCATTGCATTTTCCCCTCCATTTATTTCCCCAAACTTATTTATTTCTGTGTGTTCTTTTTACATTTGTTTTTTTTTACATGCATTTCTGCTTCATTATTTACATAGGTAAATTAATACAGAAATAAATGTCTCATTTATAAGTTACATTTATATTTTTTACACACATATATACTGTATATAAATTTTCATGCATTTTATTGCGTCACTCTCTTCACTATCATTCACTGTACACCATTTCATAGTAGCATATCAGTTTATCTTTTCCTCAAATGATCTATTTCTTTTCTCTGCTACCATACATACTGTGTATTCCATCTTTGCCTGGTTATCTTTTATCTAATCCACTTCATCAAGATTTTTTTTTCTCCTACCCTTATTTAGGTCTGGTGGCAACAATAAAGGAGCATATTACCAAGCCGACAGCGATGGCCCAGGGGCGAGTTGCTCACTTGATTGAGTGGAAAGGGTGGGGTGGGGGTGGCGGAGCCAGGGGAGATGGGGGTGGTTGGAGTGGGGCCTGGGGTAAAGGAGGCGGAGGCTGGGGCGGAATGGGGGCTGAGCTGCAGGAGGATGAACAGTTCTACTCCCAAATGACGGACGAGATCAAGGAAGCTCGCTTCGCTGCAGGTGGGACAGAAAGATGAATTTAATTCCCGAAAAACAAGATGTGTTCAGTGAAGATGAAGTGACGCTCACATTGTTTTTGTTCGATTGGCTTGTCCAAAGGGAGCGTCTACAAAAATCAATGGCCCTTAAGATGTCCTATGACAGTGACTCAAATCAAGCACACTTGTTCGATTTCCCTTTGTTTGTGATGGTTGCAGTATTGGTGTAAAACATCTTGGGGGTCGATTTCTGAGAAAAGCAACAATAAAATGTGTTTGTGTGCCTCTTGTTTGACAGGAGTAGCAGAGCAGTTTGCTTTGGCTGAGGCAGCCATGAATGTGTGGTCCATGAACGACAGCTCAGAGCAGCCCTCCACCAGCTTGCAAGGTTTGTCATGTAAAAGGATCGCGTGTCACTGGAGCTTCAAGTAATACATTTCTCTTTTGTTTTCATTTTAATTTCTCTCTGAGTGTTTTCCTGTGTCTGAATACAAGTGAACCTATTAAAACAACCAGGTAATAAGGTATTTTTGTTGTAATGATCTCTCTCTGGGTTTGGCTGATTATAATCTCAAAGTCCTTATTTGACCTTGCAGTCTTTTCTTTAATGTTGGTAATGGATATTTGAGACAAATTCCACATAGCAGGTAACAGATAACATAATTAATTCCTGTTTCACAACATAATTGATTTTATACAGTACATATTTTGCAAACATATATAATACAGTATATTAGGTTATATAATGTTGTGTGAAAATATATATCATTTCTCAATGACATAATTTCTTGAGATCACAGTGCAGATCCCATCCCAATAACTAATATAGCACCAATCAGGCCTATTTAGGCAGATTCATGTTTCGTGGCACCAAATTTGAATGAATCATGAGCGTGATCTGTGCAGTTTATTTCACTTTCAGATATCTTGATTTTTCAATTAAGTTTTTAGCCACACTAATGGTATTGTTGTATGGAGTGTAAGGTTAGTCACTCTGTTGCCCCAGTTGGGATTCACTTTTTCTTAAATTAAATATAATATCTTAAATATTAATATAAATCATTGCACATATGCTCCTTATGAATTTACATGTATTGCCAATTGCTTTCTCATGGGATTTGCAGTCATGAATTCAAGCACTGGTTGCATCTGTAGTACTATCTATAGCTTCACAGGTCTCTACCCAGCTGTCACTTTTTGTCTTTGTGTAGTTATGGCTATTTGGTTATTTTTTTTAGTGTTTCCAAGAAGCAACTATTTGACTGATACTGTTATTATCAATCCTCAGCTGCACAAAGCCACTTCTTGTCTCAGTTCCTGCTGGATGGTGGAAGCGTCAGCGTTCCCCAGCACCTGTACAGCATCCACGCCCAGACTTATGGTGACAACAGGGCGGCCAACCTGGTCCCTCCGCCAACGGTCGACTCCATTTCCCCGGCGTCCAACACTCAGCAGGAGAGAGATCATCCCTTTGAGGACAGAAGCGCTGCAACTGCAGAGGCTGTCCGACACGTAGACAGCAGCTCACTATCTGAGGATGATGTTTTTTATAACTAGGCCTAACAGAAAGACAGCAATCTTGATGGCAATCTCTAAAATGAGCCTCACTGAGAGGACTTGAGTCTCAACCACCAGCAATGAAGGACACAAAACATAAACGCACACATCTGTGAGATTTCTCAAGAGGCAGTTTCTCAAATGGCTTGTCTGGAAAGGTTTAAGCGATTGGTCTTCAGAGACAATGTACACAGTTCCCCAGGTACATTTTCATTTTTTATTCAATGTACATTAAACACTTTCATATTACATGTAGAATTGAACTGTGAAGAGTCAAACAATACTGGTGTAAATATCTTGTTATAAAACATCACTTTTATTGTATGTGCTGTATCAGGCGGTCCGATTCTGTTTCTGATGCCTTTTATTTTCAAAGTGATGACTTGAACAAAATAATTTGGTTATGGTGAGGAAGAATAACATGAAGGCAGTCTGAGTAGAGAAAAGTTTATGAAAGACATTGGAAATCTGAATTCTTTGAGATTCCTCATCTGAATCTAGAGAGAAGTCTTCTGTAAAGAAAGCGTCCACCCAATTATCTGTTTGAGTCCCATCTATGATTAGCTATTATTCACACTTTTCTGTCTGAGAACAATTGGTGCAGGGGAGCGGTGCAGAGGAAAGTGGAGAAAAACAGCGGGAGAAGGACGCAGAACCTGTCATTGTGCATATGGTCGGTGTGTATTTCTGCATGTATGTCAGCATGCCTGTGTGTTAGAGAGTGAGAGATGGTTGATGAATGGAGGTGTTAGTGTCACCTGTCATGGTGTTCTTTTAGCACAAAATGAAGCTGTGCTGTGTGATGCGTCTGGCTGTTATCTCACTCTGAATGTTATTCGGCTGATGTAAAAAAAAACAACAACAAACAACTAATATGAGGTCTAATTAGTTGCTCAATGTAACAACAGCTGCTGTGGCCTTTCACTGTGACAGAAATGTGACGCAGTAGAAAAGTGAAAGGTATCAGTATCTAATTTGACATTTACACATTGACAAGCTGTAAGTTATTGCAGTTTTGCATCTCTTTGTTCTAAAGGTTTAAGGTGTCAGAGAAATATTGTTCTCTGTTCTCCAGTCCTACAATTCCCACGAATCTTAGAAATTACTTTCCTGTTTAGTTTACTTTAAATTTCTTTAGAAAATGAGTTGCACAATTTTAAAACGAGTCATCTCCTTAGATAGTCCATTGACCTGAATCCTCAAGTGTGAATATCATTTTGAAGAATTCCTTAAACAATCATTTCAGTTTGTTAATGCTATCTTATATAATTTATATGTTTTATGTTGGCAGGTTCACCTAATAGCCCAAGATATTCTTTTTTAAATACATCTTATTTATGATTCATGTTTTTCCTGAGTTTTAATAATCACACCAGAAAAACACTCATAACAACTTGGATTTGATTAAGCTGAGTAGAAACCTCTTCACCAAGGCAACTGAGGAGAGTTTTAATGCGTATTATTCTGATGGCATGCTCAAATTTAACACATACTAGCTTTAACTTGAGGCTATTTGTTGCAACATCTTTAAATACAGTTCCTAATAGAAATAGTAGGCTGAAATACTAACTACCTGCATCACCACATGATGCTGATAAAACTTTGTCAAACCAGGTAAAATGGGCGTGATGCATATGTGATGGTTTACTTATCTCAAGGACCTTTCAATGGTCTGCAACGTAATTTTTATAGATTACTGAAATAAATAGAAACCAAAGCCTGCATGGAAATTTATGGTATGCATTGGAGCAATAGGTACTACTGTATATACAGAGAAGTGTGGGTTACACCAGTAGTGTTACATTGTGTTAATTGTATAAACTGTTTTGTAGGCTTTTCTTTTCCTCCCTGATGGATGTTATTCTGGGAAGACACACTTTTAATAATGCTGTATCACAAAGTGCAGATCAGTGAATGAGATTGTGAGAGTGCGTAATGTCCTCAGTGGAAGAGATCCTGCTAATTACAATAAGGGGCAAGACAATAAGCTCTGATAAATGTGTGTCATAGGAGGCTCCAGCTAATAACAGTTTTGCTTGTGTACAAATATTGCTATGCTTGCGAAATGAAGAATTTATATTTATCTAAAGCGACTTACAATTGCTATACATGTCAGAGGTCTCACACCTCTGGAGCAACTAAGAGTTAAGTGTCTTGCTGAGAGACACAGTGGCAAAGGCAAGCATCTTATCTATGCGCCATCACCACCATCACCACCATCATTATTATATATCATTATTAGAGCCAGGCTCGTGTTACAGCTAATCAGACAGAGATGGATCCATGCTCATGCTTAAAAAAAGGTCAGGGGATATGCTTATTTCTGGTGTGTCGCTGCTTAGATTTCTCTGGCCAAGTCCTCTAATATTCTCTTCATCTGGAGGAGAAAACAGTGAAAGAAATAGGGAGGGGGGGAAGGAGAGAAAGAAACAGCTTTGAATCTGTAAGTAGCCATTTAGCCATAATATTAATAAATCCATACAGGGACATGTTCTTGGATGAGACAAATGCCCACAGAGGAAACAACGAATCAAGCTGTATGTCATTAAGATAATATTGGATTAGATTATATTTGTGCGTATTGGTGAGTGTGAATACACATTACACTGCTAACCATCCTTACCTCTGGCCATGTGATGAGCCCGACCAGCCTCCCCCTGTCTGCGACAAACAAAGTCTGGCCTCGAACCAGACTCAGGATACTGTGAGCCTGTGAGGATGTAGAGAGAACTGGGTTTGAAGATAATATATTCACTTTCTTACCAAGGGTTAGATGAGGAGACTGATACAATTCTCATGACATTAAACCTGCAATTACTAATATTTCTGGCCACTTGAGGGCAGCAAAAACAAGTTGTGACCACTGTATTTAGTGTACATAACACCTTTTAAGTTGAAATGGCAAACTTGTTAGCTAACAGATGCTTATTTATACATCCAGCAGTTACAGAGCAACATTATTATTCATTCGTCATATTTGTGTCCACCTGGTGAATGTTAAGTCCTATATTCACTGTCTTCTAGTAGTGCTTCTGGTCTCTACAAACTCCCAAGGGAAATGGCTCTTTAGCTAAATGCTCCACACTACTTACCAGCTAGTTGCTAACTTTGTTTGACATTTGGTGCTGGGTTTTTAGAGATATTTTGCTGAAACTGAAAATTATGCTATGAGAGCGATGATAGTGAACCAAAACAGTTTAAAGTAGCAGGTCAGAAAGCTAAACAATGAGCGGGAACTTGCTATATATAAGTCAGGTGATAATTGTCTGTGGTGTTCACTACAAGCAACCCCTTCACATTGTCACATTATACAAATTATACATACATAATATCACTTATAGCCACCTTAACTACAGAGCTGGAGTCAGGACGTGGCTAGCCAAGCATTGCATAGAAGTGGAAACAAACAGAACTGTAAAAACAAGTTGCAATTTTAGGTAGAATTATGTGCTATAACCACTTTGTGACGAACAATGACATTTGACTTTAATGATTCTGATAAACAAACAAGACACTAAGCTAGGCTAATCGCCTCCCAGCTTTACCTCTGTACGTAAAACACAGAAATGAGAGGTGACAGTCTACAAGTGTCGAACTATTCCTTTAAATTCATCTATACTAATGACATTTTCCAACGTCTCCCTACCTCCTCAACAGTGTTGTGAGGTGACAACAGGACAGAAGTTGGGTAAATGCAGCACACTTCATCCAGATTTTTCTCCAGAGTCTGCACAGAACAGCATAAAAATATTCACATTTGTATGCATTTTCTGTCAGATGCATACTTGTCATGCAGTAGCATTCAGGATTATTTGAGAAACTGTGATTCTCAGTTTCTATTGCCTAAAAAACAAATTTCATACTTTCTCTAGTGTATCCTTGGACGTTGCTACAGTTTTAAAACAATTTTAATCAGCAGCTCTATTCATTTTCCATCACTGACTGCTTTAAAATGCTTTAAAAAGATGTCACTTATGTCATAAAATGAGCTTTTACGTCAGCCAGCAGTTCTGTCTGTACAATCTTGCCTTTTTTTGCAACTGTTTTACATTCAGTCAATGTCAAACAGATTGTAGAGACACGACATGCCTTTTAAACAGCATCAGACAATTCACTCCTCTACATTATTCTGAACACTGCAGAGACCTGTCTGACTCCTCCAGCCATTTACCTCAGTCTTACAGTGACGCAGGAACATCAGCAGCTCTGATCGGAGAACAAACCCCAGTAAAATCTGTGACTCTTTAACAGAAGAGAGGAGAGGAAATCAATTTTCTTTGCCACAGTCGGTGCTACAGTTTTGAGTGTGTGCAGCTCTCTAGTGAGTCGTTTGTTGCAAACATTACCACTGAAAGACTCAGCTGGCCGATTATTTTCTCATACTTCTCAGCTCCTTATCGAGGCACTTTCACACTGCGGTATTGCTACAGCTTTTAAAAATGATGACAATTTTCATCATCTCTCTCATTTTCTTTTTAGGGCTCTATGTAGCCTCATAACTATGTGTTTGTCCAGCATGTATCTGACATTTTCATAAGGATCCTGCTGATTTTGTGCCAATATTGCATACCCTTAAATATAATGTATTTCTTGTGAATAGATTTAGACAAAACGTGACTGGGATAAAATACTGTTAAACAGCTTTGTCTGCGCACCATGTGAGTCCACCACAGGGATTTGTGTTTCAGTGCTGGTGTTGACAGCATGCTGAACCTCCACTGGCCCAGCTGCTTTCTGAAGCTGCTCTGATTTTACTCCCAAAACCTGTCCGACTGGTGTGGAGGAAACCCTGCAACAGAGATTAATCATTTCATACCAGGAACAAAAGCAGCTGTGGTTAACCTGTTAAAATCCCTCGGTGGGCGGTGCACCAGACCAGGGTTAAGGTATAGGGATGCCAGTGACACCACAAACTAAAAACTTCACTGTCAGCGACTTACAATTGCTATATGTCAGAGGTCGCACGCCTCCCTGAGCAAGACACTTAACCCCTAGTTGCTCCAGAGGCGTGCGACCTCTGACATGTATAGCAACCGTAAGTCGCTTTGGATAAAAGCGTCAGCAAATGACTAATTATGATAATTCTAGAGATGCACTGTTCAAAGTATATGGTCATCAAATTTTCTTTATATTATACAACTTGAATACATTTTCCATGGACTCCTGTCACACATTGTATGTAACCCTCAGCCACAACAATCAACTGTTTATTTATATCTTTAATGAGTGCTTTGAAGGAATATTTACTCATAGCAAATGAGTAACACATGCCTGGTGTGGAAAATGACTGATCACAATTCAAAATGTCAAGATCTCACTTTGAT